ACGCAAAATATATATATGTATAGTGTGCGCTCTGCCCTGTAGGGTCACTCGGAGCTGGAATCACTAGACGGCAAAGGGTTTGGTTTTTGGGTTTTGGTGTGTGTTTTTATTGAAAATGATTGTGGGAATTTATACTCCCAACAGCGTTGTATAGTAGTGTGTTTTTCACGGTGTCCTTCCCAGGCTTAGGTAAGAGCATTTCAAAAATATTTGCTAATTTCACAGGTTAAAAAAAATTATTGTGTTTTATTTTAAATATTTAATTATTTTTATTATTATAGTTTAAAATTTAAACTTTAAATTGAGAGTTGAATATTAATTAATCCTAGAAAAAAATGCATGATTAGTTTCTACTGTTACTTTTTCTCAACTGTTTTCACCTAAATGCAAATTTTCAAAACAGCTTAAATACCGCAGAGTTAAAGCTGGGGTGGGGTTGGGGGTGTGTTTGTTTTTGGTTTGTTTTTTTTTTTTAAGGCTCTGACGCTTTCCTTTTAGTAAATGGAGCTAGTCCTGATTACTTTAATATTTTAGTTTAATCTTATATTAAATGAATTCCCATTTTTCTAATATATATTTTTTGTATTTTATCTTTATAATCTCTGAAATGACAATCCATGCCTTGAAATGCCAGTGGGATATATTTAGTTTTTTATTTGGGTTTTTAAATTATCATATCAAAAGTAAAATTGACTTTTGTTTTTGGTGTACAATTCTGTGAATTTGAATACAAGTCTCGTTTTGAGTTCAGTCAGGCATCTCCCACAAAAACTCGCTCATGCTATCCCTTTATGGTCATACTCTCCCCCCACCCAGCCGCTGGTAACCATGGATGTGTTCTCCATCACTATAGTTTTATCTTTTCAAGAATGTCATATAAATGGAATTAGACAGTTGCTTGGCTTATTTTGCATTTCTGGAATTTCTCCCAAGACTGAACATTTTCCCACACAATTAGTTGCAGTTGTGAATTTTATATTTCGAATAGTTTATATCACTGCCACTTACTTGCTGGGGTCTTAGATGGTGTTTTTCTTACAGATTTGTATAAGCTTATTATGTAATAATAACATGAGCACATTGTCTGTTGCATTTGCCACAGATATTTCCCCTGTTAGGTCTTCACTGTTTAAGTTTAATTATTTGCTTTTAATGTATAAGGTCTTACACATAGTAATATCATTTGATCTTATAATATTCTAGTATTCTAATAATCTAGTCTGATGCAATATTTCTAAATATAAAAATTTGAGGAAAAAATATTCATCACAGCATTATATCTACCAAAAAAAAAAAAAAAACGCAAACCCATTGTCATCAAGTCGATTCCAACTCTTAATGATCCTATAGGACAGGGTAGAACAGCCCCATCCGGCTTCCAACGAGCGGCTGGTGGATTCAAACCGCTGACCTGCCTACCTTTTGGTTAGCAGCCGAGCTCTTAACCACTGCACCACCAGGGCTTCTCATTGTATCTAGCGTGGAAAATTGGAAACAGTTTAAATGTGTTAACTGTAAGACTTTAGTAAAGCAGCTCTGAGAGCTGCCCCTCAGTAGAATATTATGCAAGAATCAAGGATGCTTATAGAGGTAACATAATACCTTGGAAAATGTTTATTCTAAAATGTTACATTAAAAAGCCAAATATAATCCCATACACACAGTGTGATGGTAAAACAAAAATCAAACACAAAACCTCCTCATTAAATAAGACTAGAGAAAATACATCAAAATGGTAATAGTGATTTTCTTTTATTGGTGGAACTGTGGAGAGATTTTTATTTTCTACTAATTTCGTGTGATTTCTTCATTCTTCATAATGATCATCTATTACTAGTACAGGAGGGAAAGGGATTCCAAGCCGTTTGGGAGTAAAATGCTACCTTCTGCCTTAAAAATGTACCACTGAGCTTGAGACTTTATTGAAGCATGTGTGAAGTTAGTCAAACGAATACCGGCTCTGTCTTCTAGGGTGTCAAAATGTGTTTCAGATCATATCACTGTGACTAGACCTTTAGAAGAGGAGCCCTGGTGGTATAGCGGTTAAGCGTTCAGCTGCTAACAAAAAGATTGTTGGTTCGAACCCACCAGCCTCTCCGTGGGAGAAAAGATCTGGTGATCTGCTCCAGTAAAGATTAAAAAACCAAACTCATTGCCATGGAGGACAGAGCAGAGCTGTGCCATAGGGTTTCCGAGGCTGTAATCTTCATGGAAGCAGACTGCCACGTCTTTCTCCTATGGAGCAGCTAGTGGGTTCAAACTGCTGACCTTTCAGTTAGTAGCCCAGCACGTAATCACTGATCCACCACAGTCCCTTCCCTAAAGACAATGGCCTAGGAAACCCTATGGGGCAGTTCTACTCTGTCATATAGGGTTGCCGTGAGTCGGAATGGACTCGAGGGCACACAACAGACATTCGGAAGGAGAGACAGTGACTAGACTGTCAAACAAATCATGGGTAAATTATCAGAATGCTTGGAGAGGGGGAGGTAATAGGGCAAGTGAATCTGGTGAAATGGCAAGTAAGCATCTGGTTGCTTATTAAATAGGAAATTAGTCAATGTCTAAGCAAGATCTTTGGGAGGAAGAAAGGTTTCACTGCAACGCTCTCAAATACTTTAATAAAAACTCAGGTAACCCTAGAGTTTTCTATCTATTCCTAGGACAGATTTTCCCAGGTCCATGTTGAGCTGCTGCTGCCTGATTAGGAGTCCAGCCTGGAATAGCAAAGGAACTGTTACTTAAGGTCAGAGTAGTTGTAACTCAGACTTTATGAGTCAATGATCCCTCAGCACTTAAATCAGATTTAATTACTTACCTTTATTTGTATTAAGGAAATCTTCAAATAAATAAAGTCTGTACATAGTAAATACTCCCACAAATGGGGATCATTCTCGGTGCTTTTTCCTGTTTAGTGGAGAAATTGAGATTTGACTGAAAGACCTGTGTGACTCAGGAGAGAGGGGACTGTCAAAGATGTTTTCTCGGGAGTACTTTCAGCAATTAACCTGAATCCTGCCCAAGAATTGTAAGTCCAGAGGGTGAAAAACCAGTACCAGTTGCTGTTGAGTCAACTCCGATTCATGGCAACCCCACGTGTGTCAGTGTAGAACTGTGCTCCATAGAGATTTCAGTGGGTAACTTTGCAGAAATAGATCACCAGGCCTTTCTTCTGAGTGTCTCTAGGTGGACTTGAACTTTCAACTTTTTGGTTAGTAGCTGAGTGCGTTAACCATTTGCGCCACACAGAGACTCCTTCAGAGGGTGAAGGGAGCCCCTGAAGACAAATCTGGAAGTCGTCTCTATGCTAATTCAACAGTGTGACATACACAAAATGTATTTCAGAGACAAAGAACGTGAACACCCAACAAATCATGATGTTTACATCACCATCTCCTTTAGTTAAACCTTCCAAACTCGGGAGGCAATAAAGTCTTTTTTAATATCCATGAAATTAACTGCACCTGTCAAGAGCTATAATTTGTCTCTCTGTAGGTTCAAAAACGACCCAAAGAGTGCTGGCAGTACAGAAGGCTAGGGATCTCTCATGGCTCTGCTGGATTCGGTATTACAGGCTCGAGATTTCCATTTATGGGTTTCTGTTACCCTGAGTAGAAATCCATGGGTGGTGCAGATGGTTACTTGCAGCTACTAACTGACTGAAAGGTTTGAGTTTCAAGTCCATCCAGAGGTGCCTCGAAAGAAAGGCCTGGCAATCTGCTTCCAAAAGTTTGCTGCCTTGAAAACTCTGTGGAACACAGATCCACTCTGCACACATGGGGCTCTCATAAGTCGGAATCTACTTGATAGCAACTGGTTTTGTTTTTGTGGCTTATTATTCTGAATAGTTTTATTTACACAAAGGTGGAAAAGACAGCTAATGCTTTGCTGTAGTTATCTTTGGTTTACATAAGAAAGTTTGGGAAAACTCATAAGGAAGAAATAGTTCAAGAAGAAAACGAAGCAAGGGAGCAACTTTTCAATGAATATCAGATAATAGTTACAAAATAATGGAACCTCATGGAAAAGTGGGTAAAAAGAAAAAGTGGTTAGTTTAGGCAAGTGGCCAAAGCAAACGAAGGAAAGGAAAGACTGATGAAGAATCAGACTAAATCAGTTGCCATGGAATAAATTCTGATTCATGGTGACCCCATGTGTTTCAGAGTAGGGTTTTCAGTAGTCACCAGGCCTTTCTTCTGAGGCATCTCTGGCTAGGATTTGAAACATCAACCTTTTGGTTAGTAGCTGAGCACTTCACCATTTGTGCCACTGTTCGGACTCCTGGAATTTTTAGCCAACACTGATAATTTTCACCTTCATCTCTTGGGAAACAATTATTAGTCACCTGGCATTTATGGAGTACTTTCGTTTATCCTTAAATGATAAGTGCTATTTTACGGTGGTCATTGATTTACTGTTTAAAGGCTTATGTGTTTTAATATATAAATGACTGTGAAGAAAGCAGACCTGTTTTGAAAATATCTAAATAAGGATCAGCTGCTAAATGCCTAGAGCCAATTCCATTACACACATAAATAGACCATGCAAGAATTTTGTGGTGTCGTGTTTAACTGGTGTGACTAAAATAGGCTCACCCATCCTAAACTCATTTTCTGATTACCGTGTGCTGTTTCCTGAGCACCTACTGGAGCAACAGAAGAAATAAAAATATGTGTTGGGAAACATTTGCCTCACTCTGCAACTATTCAATCTAATTCCATTAGTTAAGAGTGGAATTAACTTTTTAGTTAGTCCTCACTAATGAGCTTGAATATAGACCTCCAGAAAACCTCTTTTCTCAGCAAGAAGGTCTGTGGTTTCGGGTGAGTCCAACCATGTGCTTTGTAGAAGGGGAAGTAAAAGCATTTGTTCGGATGGATAATTGAACCATTTGAAGCTCTGGCTGTTGGTGATAAAGCACTGGTTATGTGGGGAGGGGACAGCAAAAATAACATATCCTATAGCCCCCAAACAGCATTTGTCTTTTTCTCATTTTTCAGGGAGCAGCCATGTCACCATTTCTTCGAATTGGTTTGTCCAACTTTGACTGTGGGTCCTGTCAGCCATGTCAGGGAGAAACTGTTAACCCTTACTGTGCTGTACTTGTCAAGGAATATGTTGAATCAGGTAAGCTTGTGTGGATATTCGAGATGGGGGAGGAGTTAGTTCCTATGAACTAGGAAGCAAGGCCAGCAGTGATCTTCCAGGACCTTCAAGGCCATCTGATTCAGCCTAATTTCATTATTCAGGAAACTGGTGCCCAGAGAAGCCAAGTACTTCCAGGGCAGGTTGGTTTAGTGGTAGTCGCTGAACCAGAACCACGTTTCCTGCCTCGTGACTCACCAGTCATTCTTTTTCACTGTATGTTTTCCCCACATAAACAAAGGAAAGGAAAAAGTTGGGCTGAGCAAATTATGTGAGCAGTTAATGGGAGGAAAAAAAAAATCTACTAATGAGCTGAAGTAGAACATGTGACCTATATTGTCAAGCCTGGTGATTTAAAATGATTATAGGTTGATTAAGTCTGCAGAACTTTAGAATCAACTCTAAAGATGGCTTGCTGCTTCTTTGGCTAAGCTTAGATGAATATTATAAAGAATATATAATAGCCATTAGAAACCACATTTCAGAAAACTGCATTTTTGCATTTACTACTGAGACCCTGAATGAATGAAAGAATAGCCATGTTTTGCCAAATGTATATATTTAGGGCGGTATATGTTGAGGGAGAAAAGTGTGACAGCCATCCAAGATTCCTTGTGTGGGTTTAGAAAATTCAGTTAAAATAATCCTGTTGTGTCAGAAATCTCTCCATGGTAATTTGGACTGGCTTCCATTCTCTTTGATCCATCCCCCTGCATTTTAAGAATCATATGGACTTTCCAAAGAAAGATAGAAGAATGTTTATATCCCAAGACTTTCCCAACTTCACTGCCTTTCCCCGTTTCCCTATATAGGTTTGTTATTTTAGCAGATACATTTTTTTTTTTTTTTGGTAAATATATATGAAACAAAACATTTGCCATTTCAACAACCTCTACGTGTGCAGTTGAGTGACATCAATTATGTTCATTATGTTGTTCATCCATCACCTTTATCCATTCCCAAATTATACCATCACCCTTAACAGAAGATCATTGCCCCCTAAGCAATGATTTCTGCCTTTCCCCCCTCTCCTGCCCGCCTTTGATAACAACTAATAAACGTTGATCCCTACACATTTGCCTATTGTAGCTATTTCATGTAAGTGGGATCGTACCATAGTTTTCCTTTTGTGACTGACATTTCACTCAGCATAATGTTTTCAAGGTCCATGCAGGTTGTAGCATGTATCAAGACTTCCTTTCTCTTTATTTCTCAGTTACTTTAGCAGATACTTTGTTGAGAACTGGGATTAGCACTGATGCAGGTTTGGAGTAACTACAGAAGCTGTCATAGTTCCTTTATACAAAAAGTATTCACAGAGTGCCTGTGGAGCCCTGGTAGCCCACGGGTTAAGAGCTTAGGCTGCTAACCCAAAGGTCAGCAGTTTGAATCCACCAGCTATTCCTTGGAAACCCTATGGGCAGTTCTGCTCTGTCCTATAGGTTCACTATGAGTTGGAATTAACTCCATGGCAATGGGCTTTTTGGTTTTTATTGAGAAGCTGCTGGGGCTAGAGGAGAGGGAAAAGGAAAAAGAAAAACAGAAAAAGTCTCTTCCCCTTAGAGCTTATATTCTAGCAGAAGAAGATAAGCAAGAAACAAAAATATAGTAAGTGCTGTGAAGTAAAACAAAGTAGAATAAAGGGGAGAGAGGAGGATTAGGGTCGGAGCAAATGTGTGTTATTTTATATTGAAACACACACACACACAGTTACCATCAAGTCGATTCCAACTCACATTGACCCTACAGAGGGTTTGCGTGGTTATGAGCTTTTGAAAACAGATCTCCAGGCCTTTCTTCCAAGGTGCTTCTGGGTGGACTTAAACCTCCAACTTTTTGGTTAGCAGCTGAGTGCTTAATCATTTGCACCACCCAGAGACTCTTGTTATTTTGTATAGTGTAGTCCTAAAAAGGACTCTGCATACCCAGGGGGATCTTAACTCAGTATTTGAGAACCTCCGGCTAGATCTTTACAGGTCAGAACTTCTGGGGTTCAGAATCCTACTATGTTTACCTTTTTTCCCCTTGAAAGACTTTTTGCTCCATGGATGACTTCACCTTTCTAGATACGCTGAGTGCATCAAAGCTGAGGAATCGCCTTGACTTCCCTTCTGCCCAGATTTCTCTCCTGTTTAGTTCGAAGTGAGAATGCCACTTGTTCCCAATCTCAGACCTTTCAAATGTCACAGAAATCTTTGAAGTGTAAAATGTCTGAATTTTTCAAAGCTGCTTTGACTTAATAGGCCTCCTGGATCCAGTTCTCTTTACAACCACAAGTCTCACTGACATTTGCCTCCTGAGAGCCATTTTTTTTTTTTGTGGGGCGGGGGGGTCTTGTGTTTGAGCTTGGTCTAATCAGCCGTGTGGATCAAGAGACCTTGTTAGAAAAGAAGAAAACTTTGTTTTTCCAAAAGGTTAGCCTGTGGAGTTCTGAGAGGTTTGGAGACTTTTGTTTTTTAGTTTTGTTCTGAAAAGAAATCACTCCAAACATTGTAATTCAAGTATTACTTCCTTAGAATTTAAACACATTTCAGTCTTTGGAGTGTGAGGTTGTTTTCCATGATGAGTCAACAAACAGAACATAGTACCATCAATCTGAGATTCTTTGAAGATGGCAAAACTCACTGTAGATAGTCAGAATCCTGAGTTCTGGTCTTTTTAGGTAATTACAAACCTAATAAATGAAAGGGTAAAAAAAAATGCCTTGAGGTAGGGATTTTTAATCTTTGACTGGGGCATGGTGGTTATGTGGTAAAAGGAGTTATGAAAAGGAGAAACGGCAAGTCTGAGGAAATAAAATATTATTCGTTGTTGTTGTTAGATGCTGTTAAGTCGGTTCCCACCCATAGCAACCCTATGTACAACAGAACCAGACGCTGCCGGGCCCTGCACCGTCCTCACAATCATTGCTATGTTTGAGCCCATTGTGGTAGCTGCTGTGCCAGTCCAGAAATGTTATTACGGTAATTATTTTAGGTCATTTTTTCTTTGGCTATGAAAAATTGTTATTGATTTATAATTGTTAAAGTAATATTGCCATCAGTTTTTAAAAAGCCCAACCTCTGATCAGATTTTTTTTTTACCAAACCATAAAAACCCTTCGCTTCCTATTCCCTCCTTAACCATGTCATGTAGCTTAAAAAAACCCACTGCCGATGAGTCAATTCCAACTCATAGCGACCCTATAGGACAGAGTAGAACTGCCCCATAGGGTTTCCAGGCTGTAAATCTTTATGGAAGCAGAATGCCACATCTTTCTCCCACGGTCATATAGGTTACACCTCTAGTATTCAAGACTACCTAAAATTTGAAGTTTCAACTTTTTCAACTCCTTGTATACCCCCAAAATAAATATGAATTTAACAAATGCAAACTGCCTATTCTGTTTTAGCTTTTCGCAAGGCAGGGGATGGGGGCGTGGCAAGGGAAAGGGCAAGTGTCTCCGTGCTATCAGGAGTGAAACCAAAAAACCAGTTACCATCAAGTTAGCTCCGACTTACGGCAACCCCATGTGTGTCAGAAAAGAACTGTGCTCCATAGGGTTTCCAGTGGCTGATTTTTCAGAAGTAGATCACCAGGCCTTTCTTCCAAGGTACCTCTGTGTGGACTCCAACCTCTACCCGTTTGATTAGCAGCTTGTTCTGCTTTATTTCTCTGCTTTAAGCAGATTTCTCCTTTTTGCTTTATCAACATCTCTGAATTTCTAAATCTGCCACTTAATGGGATTATTATCATAAGAAAAAAACCAACAGCCAACGTGTTGCCATCGAGTCAATGCCGACTCATAGCAATCTTATAGGACAGAATAGTTTCCAAGGATGATTCGAACTGCTGACCTTTTGGTTAGCAGCTGAGCTCTTAACCACTGCATCACCAGGGCTCCTATCATAAGAGACAAAACACTCAAATACAGCTGCATTTTTCTGTTTCTGAAACGATTAAAGAATAAATACCAGAGAAAATCCAATGTGGATGAAAGATATGATAAAGACTTAATCTCATTAGCAAGCTCTTTCCTAGTCACTGCTGGCCTCTGGGAAGGTTTTCCTTAAAATGATAATCCTGTTTGGGGTTCTTGTTACCATTTCTGAGGCCTCCTTCCTGCCTACCTTTCATTACATGTAGGTCTGTAGCCCTCTATTTACTGACTACATTGATTAATACCATCACCACTCTGAGTTGCTCATCAGTTTTTATTAAGGGTGCATGGAATATCTAAAATGTACTATGCTCATTATGGTAGATAGAAAAGGAAATAATTCCTCATTGTTTTTAAAGATTATTGACTCTTAGTGTATTTATGGCAAATGGAAAATTTGATGTCTTTTTAAAAGAGCATTTACTATAAGCCTCACATTATGCCTCTCTATCTTTCAGATGAACACACAGTAGTTTTATATTGACCATTCCTTGCCAGATTCCAGGGAAATAAACCAGTCATATGATTGACTCTTCATAGATTAACAGAGGAAGACCTCAAAAGGCATGAAAGTTTCACAAGTATCAGGAATGGGATCTGTGTTACCGTACCCTATCAAATACATCACACTTAACCCTCTGGGTTCTATTTATTTGTTCCCATGTTCACACCCAAAGTGAAGCAACTAACTGTTGAACAGTAAAAGAACATTGCCCGTTGAAATCAGATTTCAAGGTTTTTGTTGCCTAAATTATCCAGGTCAAGCGGTAAAATTCACTCAGTTATCTTGGCATCTAGACCTTGGAACTTTCTCATTGTGTCCTGTGTTGTCTCTGATGGTTTTTTTTTGTGTGTGTTATTTTTGTCTTCCCAACAGAATTATCTATGCTAGAGAGCAGAGGGAATGGGCACTACTCTTGAGTTGAATTGGATTATTTTCCAAAGCTGGCTAAAAGAGTAATGAGAAAATATCTTTCTTTTCATAGAGAATGGGCAGATGTATGTTCAGAAAAAGCCAACCATGTACCCACCCTGGGACAGCACTTTTGACGCCCATATAAACAAGGGGAGAGTAATGCAAATCATTGTGAAGGGCAAAAATGTGGACCTAATATCTGAAACTACAGTAGAGCTCTACTCCCTGGCCGAGAGATGCAGGAAGAACAATGGGAAGACAGAAATATGGGTAAATATCTGAGCTTTGTTTAAAGTATGTAGAATTCAGTGATAAACACCATGCTTGCTGAAGACGCACTTGAAATTTCAGTCTCATCCTAAAGGTAGGATCACACTGGTCTTACTCATTGGTGATTTGCTAATGACAGCGATCACTCATTGTGGGTTGTGGAATGTATTGACATATTCGATAGGTTTGATTCCTGTATAAGGTGAAGAATATCTCTTAGTCTATGAAAAACTGTCATTGATTTATAACTGTTAAAATAAGCTTGGAAAATATCACAAATTTCCCCTAACCTTGGAACCTAACTACTATCTACTTATAAGATATCAGAAAGTGAGAGAGTGCAAACCAAAAAAACCAAACCCATTGCTGTGGAGTTGATTCCAACTCATAGTGACCCTATAGGACAGTAGAACTGCCCCACAGGGTTTCCAAGGAGCGGCAGGTGGATTCAAGGACCTTTTGGTTTGCAGCCAAGCTCTTAACCACTGAGCTACCAGGGCTCTGAGAGAGAGCAAAGACCTATTTAATATTTTGGTCTTCTCTCCCCATACTTTATCAATCTCTGTTTTTTTTCAGCCTTTTTGTGTTCACTTAGCTTACTAAGTCAACAAGAACTAAGTGTACAAGAAGTTCTTCATAGACAATTCATATTAGCACACCAAGTTTTTTAAAACTTAGGTTATAACTGTTTCGATAGCAAATGTTTAGAAATATTACAGGGAAGAGCAAAATATGAAAGCATCAAAATTGGTAGTGAACATTCCTGGGGCACAAAATGAAAGAAAATGTACCAATACAAAAAAAAAAAAAAAACAACTTTTATATGATCCGAGACCCAGAAAATATTTTAAAAGTTTTCATCACTTCTGCAAAAGGAGAGTGTCTTCTTACACTGTTCATCTTTACACTGTTTCCCATCTTTACAGGTTAACCTTTCAGCTCTTTACCTTCTATGACTTGGATTTTTAAGTAATCCACTCATAGATTTTCAAGTCACAGGTTTCACAATGGGAATGATGTAAGCCTAAACATTAGATTTTGTGTCACTTTGGTGTTTTGACTGCAAAAAAAAAGCAGTACTTTTGAGAAAAGTATACTCATCTTTGTTGCACAAAAGTAATCCTTAAATATGAATATATACCAAGGTAGCAAAGGATCCCATGCTTAAATGTGTTTAGGTCATTTAGCTCAGTAGTGTCTATTCACCTCCTCTATGGTCAGCTTGGGGAAGGGATCATGGAAATAAAACTCCTCTTGGGTACCTGCTTAGATAAGTAGGAAGAGATTAAATAACCTGATAATGTCACAGATGATTAACATAATCCATGCCATTGAGTGGATTGCAACTCATAGGGACCCTATAGGACAGAGTAGAACTGCCCCATATGGTCTCCAAGGCTGTAATTCTTTATGGAAACAGATTGCTACATCTTTCTGCCAGGGAAGGGCTAGTAGGTTCAAACTGCTGACCTTTTGGTTAGCAGGAGAGCTCTTAACCATTGCGCCTCCAGGGCTCCTGATGATTACCATAGGGTTAAAGAATTTACACAAACCAGGTAATTGGGAGGGACAAGGCTTTACCTGGGTCTGGAGCAGAGGAGCTTTTGGCTTGGCTGGGAAGAAAAAAGAGATAAACTAGAAAGAAAAAGGCTTTTTGTCTTCTCTCATTCTCACTTATTTTCTCCTTTTTGCCTGATTTTTTAAAAAGTTACCAAATCCCTAATTTTTAAAAAGCATGTTATTCATGTTTCCTTCACAATTAATGAAAGACTAACTATTTGTCTTCTTTTTAAGACTTCATTGATATACAGATTGCTTTCCAATTTATATCTCTTCAAGTTGCATTTGATTTCTTGCCCAGGCTTTCTCTGATTTTATTCTTATCAGACTTTTCAGTTTGTTTGTATTCTAGGATTATTCAGGCAAAAGCATTTGGTGCCACTCAGATCCTCATTTACCCAACTAGCATTCTTTTGATATTTTCCAGATATTTTTTCTGTTATTTCCTATTCGATTTTATTTTCTAGTGGTTAAGGGTTAACAGGTTGTCTTGGATGTATACTTCTCCCTTGCGTCTGTTGAAATCTGCTTTCTTAAAATGAATTGCTCTAATTTTTAAAATGCTTTTTCTCGAATATGCCTTTCACCTCCATAGACGTCATCCTGTTTCTAAATATCACATTGAGCCTTGCCTTCTGCTTTGCCAAGGTTTTAATTGTTTATATGGTTATATCTTACTGACTCTTCTTAATTTCTGTTATTCTAGTTAAAGCATGGATATAATTATCAACAATGACCTTTAATTCCTCTTTTTCCATATTCTCTTTAGTATATTAATGATATAGTTTTGTGGTTTAGTAAGTTAGTGATAATGCTCATTGCTGTCTTAGATTTGCTTTTTTTTCCTCCTTATTTTACCGTTCATGTCCCTTAAAATGTCAGTTTATTCTGGTCCCTTCTAAATAATTACACTGAAATATATTGTTGAACCCCCTCTCCCCCGATCGGAAACCCTTTTGGCTCAGCAGTTGAGAGCTATGGCTGCTAACCAAAAGGTCAGCAGTTCGAATCTACCAGCTGCTGCTTGGAAACTCTATGGGGCAGCTCTGCTCTGTCCTATAGGGTCGCTATGAGTCGGAATCGACTTGACGGCAACGGGTTTAGGTTTTTGGTTTTTCCCCAGATCATTCTAATTAAAATTTATCTCAGTAGATTAGCACTTTCCCAAGGAGACAGTCTCTCCATGTGAAAGAAAAACGACATTCCTATTTAATCGCTGTTTAACCTGGATAAGCATCCCAGTGGAAGGGAAGAGACTTCTATGTAGGCACTCTCAAAAACAAACCCGTTGCCATCGAGTCGATTCCGACTCATAACGATCCTATAGGACAAAGTAGAACTGCCCCATAGGGTTTCCAAGGAGCAGCTGGTGGATTCAAACTGCCGACCTTTTGGTTAGCAGCTAAGCTCTTAACCACTGCACCATCAGGCACTCTCAGTGCAGAATTTATCTTTCCTTCCAAAAGCCCCCTTTCCCCAAGTGAGCTAGTACTAGTGTCTGTGATTCTTTTATTGTGATTAAGATCTGGGTCTACCCTATTACAACTCTTAAGATTAGTAGCAGAACAGGGCAAGAAAACCTAATAGAATCTGTTTTAGATTTTCTTTTCTCCTTATGCAAGTTTTGATCTTCAAGTAAAATTAATGAATGGCCGAGGTGATTCAAGTAAAAGAAAGGACTATGTTCAAGGTTGCTGCACTACTGCTGATGACAATGAGTAAAGAGAAAGGGAGCAATGATTAGATTCTGTATTGGAAATCTTGTACTGTCACCAGACAAGCCAGTTATTATGTCATTAAACTCAGCACTTCTTTCACATTCTGACTTATATTTCTTTCCTTCTCTCAACCAGTTAGAACTGAAACCTCAAGGCCGAATGCTAATGAACGCAAGATACTTTCTGGAAATGAGTGGCAAGTGACATTTGTTCTTCTTGTTGGGGGGTGAGGAGGGCATGTCCCTTCTCCTCATGTGTAACTTATTTGACTTTTGCAATATCATAGAAGAGAATTATGAAAAAACAGAAGCACAAAGAATTTTCTTAAAATTACCGGTGGTGGTCAAGGCATGAATTGAAAATACACTATCTGGGCTATATAAACAGAGAAATATAAAACATGTATAGCATTATTTTTTAAATTGTTATGAATCAATATGCCCAGTGCTTTAATAGTCTGTCTTTATTTTAGCTTGGGAATTTAATGTAAATAGAGAAGGCTCTGTTTATGTGTAGCTATGTGTGTACACATTATATATGTATAAGTGATGTGATAGAACAAGCTATCAGACTATCAGAGGATGACAAGATACATAAGAAACCAAAAAAACCAAACCAAACATACTGCCATCGAGTTGATTCCTACTCATAGCGACCCTATAGGATAGAGTAGACCTGCCCCATCGGGTTTCCAAGGAGTGCCTGGTGGATTCGAACTGCCCACAGTTTGGTTACGGCCGTAGCTCTTAACCACTACACTGCCAGGGTTTCCACATAAGAAACAGATGAGTATGTTTCATAAAACTAGTGGCAAAATGCCTGATGTTACAGTTGAAAAACCAAACTCACTGCTTTTGAGTTGATTTCGACTCATAGCGATCCTATAGGATTTCCAAGACTGTAAATCTCTGTGGAAGCTGACTGCCACATCTTTCTCCTGCGGAGCCACTGGTGGTTTGGAACAACCAACCTTTCGTTAGCAGTCAATTGCTTTAACCACTGTGCCGCCAGTCACCTCAGATCCTTTCAGGAACAAGTAAGGGTATGAAAAAAAATGCATTGCTAAAAAGTTTTGGTGCCCTGTCACAGAAGTTACATTTACAAGCACACTATACTGTGTGCCTGTTACAGCTTGTCAGTTCCTTGTGTTGAAGCGCTGTTTAAATGAATCAAATGTTACTGCTCATAAAATCCTAAACCTCAGAGTGGACATGTGAACTTACTGAGGTAAATTCATTTTATTTTTTCCCAAATTAGTTTTATTAACAAGAAGAAGCAAGTTTAGTTTAAAGATTGATTGTGCTTTCTGGATTTTTTCCTTTAAAACATACAATTTCTTTGGGTCCTGAATCAAACAAAGGCATTAGAGGAAAAAAAAAGTGATAATCTGGGAAAATTGAACACTCAACAGTTATTTGATGATATCGAGGAAATGTTATTAATATTTTGCTGTGATAATGGTATCGTGGTTGTTTTTTAAAAAGAAGTCCTCGTCTTTTTATGTAGTCCTCCTGGTGCAGTGGTTAAGAGCTTGGCTGCTAACCAAAAGGCTGGCAGTTCAAATCCACTAGCTGCTTCTTGGAAACCCTATGGGGCAGTTCTGCTCTGTCTCTGTAGGGTCGCTATGAGTCAGAATTGACTTGACAGCAATGGGTTTCAGGTTTTACCTTTTTATAGATATATACTGAAATATCTACAGATAAAATAATATGATATTGGGGATTTGCTTCAAATAGCCCATCAGCAAGGGATGGAGGAGTAAGGAGGGAGGTGTATTAGAAAAGAGTAGCCATGAATTGAGAATTGTTGAAGCTGGATGATTGGTATTTGGAAACTGATGACAGTATTTTCTCTACTTTCGTATTTGTTTGAAATTTTCCACAATAAAGTTTTTTAAAGAAGAAAAAAAATGGCCAAGGAGGGAAAAAAGCACTTTGAACCTTTCCTTCTTTTTTTTCTTGGAAGCTCTAGAGATATAGTATATGTAATTATATCATTTTTGAGTTGGCTAAATGAGATAAGTGTGATTGCAGGGCATCTAAGTAACCAGGTTTACCTAAAAGGTGAAAGTACTGGCCTAAATGATAATACCAATAATGTTTAATTCCTTGAGTGAGAGAAAGTATACTCTCCCCATTAGTTCAGAAAAATGGCCCAATGTAAATTGAAAGAAGCTTTCCATCATAATGCAAGTATTTTTCGTAAATGCTTTAAAGATCTTTGCTTTGAAAAACAATTCACAAACAATGATTACATAAGCCCAAGATTTTTTTTAAGAATAAAACTTTGTAGCGTTTAAAATTATTTATATCTAGACCCAAACTGAAACTCTATCTGTGAACATTTGTTTCTTAACAGCTCTAGTTTTCAACAACCAATGTTATAGAATAAGTAGAAAATTCTTTATTCATGACAAGAAGAAAGATACAGGATGTCATTTGATGTTAAGAATGTTTATTACTATATATAGGCAATAGTTTTCTGAAGGATTCACAAAAGCACTACTTGAGTTCTTACATTCAGGGATTGGGAGAGGTAGTTCAGATTTAACAACTAGAGATGAATTGAATCCTAAACCACATAAACACTGGTTAACCAAGAGATTACTGTGGGTTGTACTCATTCCAGAAAATTCCATAGTGTGGGCATTGAAGGATAGGTCGAGTTGAGATTTTCAGAGAGGAAGAAAAATAGCATTCTAGGAGGAAAAAAAATGTAGACTTGAGTAAAAATATTACATGAGGAGACCAAACTAGGTAGATCAGTGGGCTTCTGTTCAAATCAGGATGAAGAATCAGAGAGAGATCTGGGAGGGCTTAGAAGCCAGGCGAAAAGAGTGTGTAGACTTGGGAAAGTCACCAACAAAGAGTCACTGTCATGTTCTTAAGCAGGATGTGACACAGTGAAAGCAGTGTTTTAGGGAAATTGCCCATCATGAAATGTAAGACAGATTTGGCAAAGGAAATAGAGTGGAAATAGGAAATCCTATAAAATTTCATTATGCAATGGAGAGGTGATGAGAATCTGGACTAGGGGTGTGGTAATAGGAATGAAATTAAACAAAGAGTCTAAAAGAAAATAAACAGCAACATTTCATTGTCATGTAGATGAAAGGGCATGTCTGTTATAAGCACACATCAGGGTACTTTGTAATTCTTTCAAAATGAATGTTGAGTGAAGGCAAAAATGTTGACAGTGTCTCTTAAAATGGACTGGGGAAAATGGCGATAAGAGTGGTAGAAATGGGGGATATGGGAAGAGAAAACAAATTTGGGGGAACAAAGAAAGAATTCATTCTTGGTTAACGTTTAAGATAATACCATGTCTCCTGTATCCTTCTTTAATAGAGGCCTCAAGTCTTCACTACCCAGCAAGGAAGTAAGTGGCACATTGCCCTCCAAACTCCAGCCACTGCATTCTTTCTCTTTTAAAATCCCTGCTCCTTGATTTCTGTTATGCAATCATTTTTTCTTCTTCCTCTTTTCTCCTGCCATTACTCTTGTTGGCACCAAATTTCAAAGTAGCCATCTGATACCTCAATCTCATATTTTCACACCTTCCTACGCTTTATCCACAGGTCATCACTTGGAATTCTCCACTTCCAGAGTAACAGAGTCAGACGTTGCTCTCTTAGAGTTCATTCTCCTCCTCTGTCAATTCTGCCCTCCTACACAATAAGTACTAGAATTTGACCTAATCTAGTTTCTCTTTAACCCTATTTATTAGCTCACTTCTGGTATTGACTCTCTACCTAGCCTGGACCCGTGAAAAGCCCGTGTCGATACTCTGCTCTCACAAGCTCCCTCTTCCACCACAGTTTTCTGATCTCCAAACCTTGTATTCTCCCCCTCCGCCTCTAAGGCTTGCTAGAAAAATTCCTCCAGCCGAGTCCATTACATATGGATGCTGCTAGACAATATTCCTATGTTTCAGACTCATATATTTGTCCCCTTACTGGACATATCCAATTAGATTTCCTGTTGTTGTTGTTTTGTGCCCTCAAGTCAATTCCAACTCATAATGACCCTATTGGATAAAGTAGAACTGCTTCATAGGGTTTCCTAGGCTATAATCTTTATAAAAGCAGATCGCCAGGTCTTTTCTCCTGCAGAGCAACTGGATAGGTTCAAACCGCCAACCTTTTGGTTAGAAGCCAAGTGCTTAACCATTGCACCATCAGGGCTCCTTAGAGTTCCTATAAGTATTTTAAATTCAATATGTCCAAAATTACACTTACTGTTTATCATATTTAATTATACTTCTATCCACCAAGAAACTTGGAGGTAATCTTTATAGCCTCCTTTTTCTTCACCTACCACATTGATCGATCAACAAGTTCTACCCATGTTGTCTAATTGTTATTTTTTAATTTTATCCGCACTTACATCATTATTACCACTTGTCATATTCATTCCAATCATTTCTCTGTACACTGCTGGAATGAACTCCGCAAAGCATCAACATAACCACGCCATGACTCTGCTCCTCACTTTGCAAATAAATCGTTCACAGGAAAATGTTCAAACTGGTCTGATACCTACGCACCTTCTGTCATCACTTTCTGCCACTTACCTTTTCTGTTTCATACTCCACAGGTTGGCAATAACTAACTCTTCAGGGCCTCCATACATATTCTGATACACACATCTCTGTATCCTTGCTCATTCTCTTCCATCTAGTTAGCACACCTTTTCCTTTTCCCTGCCATACCTTTTCCCACACGTTGTTGTTGTTGGGTGCCATTGAGTCAATTCCAACTCATGATGACCCCATGTGAGAGAGTAGAATTGCTTCATAGGATTTCCTAGGCTGTAATCTTTATGGAAGCAGATCATCAGGTCTTTCTCCTGCAGACCTGCTGGGTAGATTCAAACTACCAATCTTTAGGTTAGCAGCTGAGTGCTTAACCATTGTGCCACCAGGTTACTCCACATATTGTTGTTGTTGTGTGCCATCGAGTCGATTCGGACTCGTAGCGACCTTGTGGGACGGAGTAGAACTGCCGCATAGAGTTTCCAAGGCTGTAAACTTTACGGAGGCAGACTGCCACATCTTCCTCCCTCTGAGTGACGGTGTGCTTGAACCGCCGACCTTTCAGTTAGCAGCTGAGCTCTTAACCACTGTGCCACCAGGGCTCCTTGTGTCACACATTAGTAACAGCTATTCATCCTTCGGAACTCAGTTCAGAAATCACCTCTGCCAGTAACTACCTTGTCCACCTGTTCTCTTTTCTTCACCTCTGCCTACCTACACCTGCCTTAGCTGGTATAGTTTCCTCACCTCTCTGGAGCCCTTGTGGTGCAGCAGTTGAGAGCTATGGCTGCTAACCAAAAGGTCAGCAGTTCGACTCTACCAGCTGCACCTTGGAAACCCAACGGGGCAGTTCTACTCTGTCCTATAGGGTCACTATGAGTCGAAATCGACTTGATGGCAGTGGGTTTTGTTTTGGTTTTTTTATGGTTCCATAGCATCCTGTGATACTTCTGTTCTGACATTTGCCACATGAATTGTCTTTTCATCTGGGCTCTGAACCCCTTGCAGGAAAGCATCTTATTCATCTCTGGAACTCCAGTGGCAGGCTGTGCACCAGGCACGTAAGAGGTACTCAACAGAGGTGGATTACCAGATCATCTGTAGTGAACAATTGTTCACTAAGTAAGTAAGTAAGTAAGCACAAGTAAGCCTGTGCTTACCTTGCTTACTGGGTTATCCACCCCTGTCAGGGATTATAAATCTAAAAAGAGGCTTTGATTTTGTAGGAAGGTGCTGTGGGGTTGGGAGAGAGACAGATGCCAGCCGTACCTAAAAGCAGAATCTTTGATGTGGTGAAAAAATGTGAAATTGTTCACTACAGATGATCTGGTAAGCAAGGTAAGCACCATGCTTACTTTGCTTATTGGACAATCTACCCTTGGTACTCAACAAATGTTTGTGGAAACTGTCCAGTTGGAAACACGCTGGCACTTAGAAATCCCTTTCATTTCCTTTTGATACCTATATGATGGCTATTCCAAATATTCTCATTCCAGTCGGTCCCTGAGGGTGTCTTCTTCTTCTCCCACACTTGGAGGATGACCATGTCCCAGTATACTTAGTAGAGACCTTCGTCTTCTGTCTGTCTGTTCAGCCACTTCAGAATCTGACTGCTACTTTGTGCATTTTCTTCCTGCTCTTCTGCCTCAGAGGAAGTCCGTCTCTCTCTTGGTTTCAGGCCTCATCACAGAAGCCCTGCGTTCTCTCTGGCATCTTCAACTTTTTCTTCTCTCTTTGGTGTCCTCTCATTGCCAAGACATATATAAGTCATCACCTCCAGTGTTGAAAAAGATCTTTTTTTAAAACTTTTTACCTCCGTGTGTTTTTCTTTCCTCTCTTTCCCTTAATCTTTTTTTTTTTCTTTCTTTTTTAAGTAGTTTAGAGGGCAGTGGTGGTTCAATGGTAGAATTCTCACCTTCCATGCAGGAGACCCGACTTTGATTCCTGACCAGCGCACCTAGCACAGCCACCAGCTGCCTGTCCGTGGAGGCTTGCATCTTGCTATGATGCTGAACAGGTTTCAGCAGTTTCCAGACTAAAATGGATTAGGAAGAAGGGCCTGGTGATTACTTCCAAAAATCAGCCAGAGAAAACCATATGGATTACAATGGGCTGATCCACAACCCATCATGGGGATGGTGCAGGACTGGGCATCGTTTTGTTCTGTTGTGCTTTGGGTCACCATGACTTGTGGGCTGACTCAGCAGCAGCTAACAACAACAGCAATAATTTACATTTATTCAGCTGTTTCTTCACTGCTCTCTCAATTCTAAAACCTCAAGTATATGGCTTGTATTTCTATTAATCCACTGAGACTGCTTTCTCCAACATTATGAATCCTCAAAACAAGTTGCTGTTTCTTAGTCTTCAACTTCCTTGATGTCTCTGTGTTAGTCAGTGCTGAAAGCACCATCCTTTCTTGGCTTGCCTGATGAGATATTATCCAAGTTTTCTTCTTCATTTTTCAGTTCCTGCTACTTGGTCTGTTTTGCAATTCCTTTTCCTATCTCCTAAAAAAATATGTGTGTACATAGCTCCAAGTCTCATTCATGCCATCATATACTGCCTCGTGTAGTTAACTATTTTTGTGAGTCTGCCATGTCTCCCTGACTTGATTGTTAGCTACTCAAAGGTTAGGGATGATGTCTCAAATTTCTTTAAGACATTCAGAATAACAATTTGCTCATAGATGCTGAGGAAACATTTGTGGTTTGATTGACAAGTGATGGATCAGACTAAATAAATAGATTAGGAGCCATTAGCATAAAAGTAATAACCAAACATATAAAAACCAATGAGCTTATTCAAGCCAATAAATAAGCAGAAGAGCAAATTTCTTCAGAAATACACACAGTCAATATTAAAAGAATTCAAGAAATTATGTGTTCTTACACATTTACTCTCTTAGAGTAGGAAATCACAGGAAGGAACAAGGGAATAAATTCATTTCTAGCATTTTCTGATACACAGAATATTTAAAATATTATTTTAATTTACAGTACTATAGTCTAATGCAGATTAGTTTATATATATATCTGTGTGTATATATGTATATATACACACACATATGCGTATATACACACACAGTTAAGGTTACCAGAATAATTCATTTCCATTCCCTGAATTTAAAAGTATTTTATACTTTATTTAATTTTATTTCACTTGAACCAAAATAGATGAGTCAAATCTTATTAATCAAGGACCTACTAAACTAGTCACAAGTTGTAAATAGGTCTCCACACTTAGGCCAGAACTCATACAAGCAACAGTTGCCTCAGTGACCCTAAATATGACCCCTCATTCACCAAGCATTATTTATTTCCAGCTCAGTTTCAAATAAAAAGACCTACGTAACTTAGCCTTAAAGCGTTAGCCTAACCTCTAGTGATGACCCATCTGTGGAACTCTTTAGGTAGTTACTGTAATGTTCTTATCTGGGAGAATGAGACTGCCATAAAACAGACCTGTTGCCCACTGCAGAGAGGACTTTAGTCCTAAACTGTGTCGTGGGACTTGGCTGGATTCCTGGGGAATAGTTCTCCATCTGCATGGCTCCACCATTGTCCGCCAATGTGTTTCTAGTGCAGGCACTGTTAGGGATATGGAAAATAGGTGCCCTTGGCACAGACATTTGCAACAAGTGCATTGTCAGATCTCTGCCTCTACCTAGCCAGATGGAAGTAATTTAGTTTAAATATTAATTGCTAACTCTCTATATTTGTCAAATATATTGGGCCCTTCATTCTCTCTAAAGATCTTTTTTTTTTTTTTCTAAAAAGAAATAAAGTAATCCAAGGATTCTTCAAGCTATTAAAAATTATGATTCTAGGAGTTATAATCATTAACTTCATTATCCTTATTAGTGATGATCATTATTTTTGTTATTTTATTATGGCTTTCCGTGTTCTTCTCTTTCATGCTGAAGTTTTCATCATGCCAATAGTCGTGACCCTGTCACCATTTTGTATTTTCCTTGAGTCTGAGCTTCAGCCAGGGCATCACAAGTATTCTCAAAATTCTACCATTTTAGGATCCTTCAACCTGTTGGGAAGATGTCATCTGGATATAAGGGCACTGTTTACAGTGACTACCCAAACCACCGTCTGCAGTTTTATGAGGCCAGGGTGTATGAATAAATGTGAATTTGATAGTTCGATGTGGATGACTAGATGACATCCAGGATTACCTAGATAGTAAAAAAGTTCCGGTGACTGATTAGTTTTCTTTCCCTTTGAACATTGACCAGTGTAGTCTGTAACTGGTATGTCTGATTAGTTTGGGCGTTAGGAGCTAGACATAAACAACTTCCCAGAGTCTGCTTTCAGTCTACAGTACTTTGTCTAAAAATGACTTATGTATAAAGCATCCTAGGATCTAAACAATGTATTTCCCCGTTTGCTGTCAATAACCACATTTTTCTCTACTATTACGAACAGAAAATTATTTGCCACTTCCTGCCTTCTCTTGCTGAGTCGTCATTGGTGGTGAATAAGAGAGACTGAAAAATACCTTTAAAGTTCTGATCTCTGGTTTTAAAATTGAAAGAGGGTAGCTCAGCTCAGCCCAGTTAAAGAGGAGTGGGTTGAGCCAATAATCCCATTTCATTGTTTCAGTCCTGTAATAATATACTCCGTGATAACTCTTTATTATGGCATTAAAGAAAGAAGCTCAATATTTTACCAACCTTAATAAATGCCTACAATTTTATTGTTCTGCATATTCAGTGCTTGCCCAGTTCCTTGTCCCACTGTGTCCCTTGCTATCTCACCACCCTCCCCACCCAGCTGTGACAGGCATATTGGAACACTTCACTTTGTTCCCTGTTCTCTTCCTACAGACACAAGGGATATGAGTGAATTTGAGACTGAAGGCTTCTTTGCTTTGCATCACCGCCGAGGAGCCATCAAACAGGCCAAAGTCCATCACGTCAAGTGTCATGAGTTCACCGCCACCTTTTTCCCACAACCCACTTTTTGCTCCGTTTGCCATGAGTTTGTCTGGTACGGTAGTTTGGCATTTAACTTCAGGCTTCAGGTTATGCATTTTGTTGTGTTCTCTTCACAGCCTGGCCAGCATGGCCCACTTTGGGAAAGTGTGCAGAAATAAGTATTACAAGAAAGTTTTCAGGGACCTCTTCTGAACTGGGAAATTTAAAGGGATATCATTCAATAAAAGTTTTTCATCTTGTGGCTCCTGTAGAATGTAAAGCCAGGAAGAGGGTCAAAGAATGTTAGTTTCTGATTAAATGGAAATCTGCTGGAGATGAGAGGGCAGGAACAGGAGAGGGAAGCATCTTTATTTTAAGTACAGTTTTACAGTAAAAACTTCTATTGCTTCAACAGACGAGCATTACTGGTACTACTCTGCGATAGACAGCACTTTCCCATTGGAACAGATGGGTTTAAATATTCACAAGGCTCTTGGGTGTCTTAAGAGCCCTCAAACAGAGGTTGGGTTAAGCCTCAGTAACCACACAACAAAGGCTATGGTAGAATGGAGACTAGAAATGACTCCTATTTCCAGTCCTTGGATTCCCTACATCTTAATGGGATGCTCTTCCCTTTGGGCTACTGCAGAATTAATAATGCACATTAGCAGCTTAACCATGATATCTAAAGATAAAATAGACTTTTGGTGGATTTTCATCAACCTGTTTTTATCTAATGACTTGAAATTCTTTCCTTTCTAATAATGAATGTTATTCAGGAATTGGTCTTAAGCTTGGAACATTATTGGTTGCAAATATTCTCAAACATTGAAAACGAGAAAATAAAATATTCTACAGATAATCGTTGTTCATCTCTGGTAAATTCGGTGAGACAATGCATTTTTAAGTGTAGGACACGGTAATTTGTCTAGGAGCCCATGCTTCATTTGCTGTCAGGCTTCTTGATGTCTGTATACTTCTTTGGAAAATACTCAAATGAAAAGGAAATCAGCTGCTCCTCATTTATTTAATTCTCAGAATTTTAACAGAGCAGCTTAAAATAAAAACACCATGTTAACACTTTTGGTAAATGATACACCAGGACTGCTGATCAGAAAATGCTCTGTGATAGTAGGGAGTTATGAAATCTTATTCACCTTTTAAATGTCTTTGGTGCTGCTGTTGACTCTAACATCCAAGTAAATCAGCCATGTGCTTTATTGCAGGGGTCTGAACAAACAGGGCTACCAGTGCCAACGTAAGTAAGGATTCTCATTGTGTTATCATTGTTCTTTTTATTTAGCTGTTCCTTAAACTTCTGCAGGTTTTAAACTGTATTTATTTCTTCTCAGAATGTAATGCAGCAATTCACAAGAAGTGTATTGATAAAGTTATAGCTAAATGCACAGGATCAGCTGTCAACAGTCGAGAAACCATGGTATGTAGATTTCTCTCTTTGTCTGAAATATGATAACTTTATCTTAACCTTATATTTTACAGCCCACTGATGTTATTTAATAATGCCCAAACTTGAGTCATTACGTTTACCAGCGAACATCTATCTCCCTAAAACCCTTTCCTCCTAAATAATGATTATTACTGACTTACCAGAACTAGGAATTGAATAAGAAAAACATGGTAAGAATTTTAATAACTCTGCCATTGCCAGAAAAATATTATAGAAATGGCCCAAAAGCATAGTCTTGGTTAATTATATGAAAACTAACCTTGCAGCATCTCCAACTAGAAGTGACCATTAAAGAGTAAGTACGTGCAAATGATTACAAACTACAGAGGAGATATAAGCATTTACAAGGTTAGTAAGAGATAGTAAAAGAAGTATAATTCTTGTATTAAGAGGCAAAATATTTCTTTCAGGATACACTTCTAGGCATAGTCTGGGGACAAGTTAGATTTTACCCAATGGAGAAGGGAACCTGTGCTGCAAAGTTAGGCAGCCTATCATTATGAAATATATTGACTACCTTCTCCATCCTTTCCTTCTTCATTCCTTGATTCGACAGATACTTACTGAGTGTTTAATTCATGGCAGACACTGTTCTCTGTACTAGATGTACAATAGAGCACACAACAGACATTGTCCCTGAGCTTATGGACTTCACAGAATAGTTGGGGATACGGACTTCACAGTGTGGTTGGGGAGACAGATGATAAATAACTGCGTATAGTTTCAGTGTATGCTAAGTGCTGTGAAGATAGCCCAGGCGTGTGATTTTCGCCAGCAAAGGTGCAGGTGCAGAGAAGGCAAATTAGTTGGGTTTATCCAAAGTAGAAGTTCTTCTAAAATTTACGGCCAGAAGGGGATAATCTCATGTTACACGTGATCCTGCAAAGGTTTAAAGAGGTACATGTAGTTTGTCCAAGGTCAGTCAGCTATACTTTTCAGAGATGGGGCTAAAATTCACATCTCAGTCTCCAAGACCCATGATTTTATTGTTGTAGTTGTTTGTTTTCTGTTTAAATTATCTTGCCACCTCTCAACCTGCCCTCCATCTTTACTTGCTGCCTTCAGCTTTCCTAGAAAACTCACAAATTCTAAGTATCACTGTTCGCCTCAACAGCTAACAGAGTCCCTGGCACAAAGAAAAGTATTCAGGAACTGTTAGTGAAATGAGTGAATATCTGTAGTAATACTGTGTTCTCTGGGGAGATTTTAATTTCTTGCTCACTCAAGGGGCCATCTTCCCTGGGATCCTTTTGTGCCCCCTCATCTAGAGCAGTTCTGCCCAATAGAAATAGAATGAGAGCCACATGTATAATTTGAATTCTAGTTGCCACATTAAATAAAGGAAAAAAGAAACAGGTGAAATTAATTTCAATAATATATTCTATTTAAGCCAGTATATACATGTATTTTTATTTCAACCTGTGATCAGTAATTAAAAACTGAGATATTTTACATTCTTTTTTTTCCATGAGAATTCTCAGTTCTGACTCGCCACCTCTCAAGTGTGCACCAGCCACGTGTGGCTGACTGGCCGTTCTATTGGAAAGTGCAGATCTGGAGTCTCCTTCAGCCAAATCTTGAACTCTTTGGGCCTGGTTTCAAGATTAGAAGTGGAAACCTTCTCTTCTGGCTCTTGACATATTAATTGTTCATATTTATACTGTGGAATATGAAATGGATTCTGATAATTTTTTTTTTCTTGGCTGGAAATGGCTAGAGTAGGTGCTAAGTAGCTTTTAAATCACTCAGTTCTAAACAGCAGTTCTGAAGACCAAAAACCAACAAACTCATTGCTGTCAAGTTGATTCTGACTCATAGCGACCCTGTAGGACAGAGTAGAACTGCCCCATAGGGTTTCCAAGGCTGTAAATCTTTACGGAAGCAGACTGACACATCTTTCTCCTGCAGAGTGGCTGGTGTGCTAAAAGCGAAGACCTTTTGGTCAGCAGACGAGACTTTTAACGACTGCGCCACCAGCGCTCCTAAAAGACCCAATGTTGACCATTGTCCACAGCAGGAACATTAAATACCTCACCATGTTAGTGAATAAGGCTTCTTTGCTGTGCACATTCGCAAATGAATTGTTTACTTAAAAATCTCTGCAGAGACAAAATGATACTCGTGAAAAGTGTGCTTCTTAGCTCAAGTAGATACATGAGACTAAATGGGCAGCTCCTGTCCAGAGGCTAGACGAGAAGGCAGAGAGGGTCAGGAGCTGGTTGAATGGACACAGGAAATCTGGGGTGAAAATGAGGAGTGTGTTGCCGCAGTATAGGGAAAGCAACTAAGGTCACATAACAATGTGTGTATACATTTTTGTATGAAAGACTAACTTGAATTGTAAACTTTGACTTAAAGCATGAAAGAAAAAAAAGTCTGCAGAGATTATTTAAAAAAAAAAAAAAACATTGCTGTAGAGTCAATTCTGACTCATAGCGACCCTCTAGGACAGAGTAAAATTGCCCCATAGAGTTTCCAAGGACCAGCTGGTGGATTTGAACTGCTGACCTGTTGATTAGCAGCCAAGCTCTTAACCACTATGCCACCAGTAAACATTTTTATATTGTACAGAAATGTTTGTATTTTTATTAAGAACCGAACTTCCCAATATATATGTATTTTTTATGTGATATTTGATTTAAGGAGAAACTAAACTTCGGAAAACATTTTTTTTTTTTAAATCCCACAATATTTCTAACCACTAGCATTCCTCTCCTGTCTCATCTCTCCCTGTCCCCCATACCATCATCTTTATTTTGAGACAGTGTAGAGTAATGATTAAGGTCTTTGGGTGGTGCCAGAAGTTTGCAGTCGACTATTATAGGGTTTCTATGGGTTGGAATCAACTGGACAGCAGCGGGTTTGGTTTTTGTTTGGTTACTAACCTAAAGGTTGTTCATTCAAACCTACCCAGCAACACCATGGGAGAAAGGCCTGGCGATCTGCTTCCGTAAAGATTAAAGACAAGGAAACACTATGGAGTACTTCTACTGTGTAGCACATGGGGTTGTCATGAGTTAGAATTGACTCGATGGCAGCATGTATACAGTGAAACCTGTGTGAGCCGGAACTCGACAGAACCGTCTTGTTTTTCTGGGTATCATGTGTTTTCGGCCTTTGACAGGGTACAGTCTTCCCACTTTTCTGTCGCTCTCTGTTAGTGGAAAATATCTGAGTTTTCCTTCTCTGACATGTTTCCACCTTACACAGGTTACGGCTTCCCAGGTTTTACCATATATGGAGAGAGAAACAATTAGAGAGATCAAGCTCTAATTCTGACTGCCAAGCTCATAGAAAACCCAGCTCGCTTAATAGCTGTGTCATCCTGGCAAGTTTCTTGCTCCCTCTGTGCTTAATTTCCTCATCTGTCAAAGGAGGATATAATTGAGGTACTTCTAATGGGATATTGTGTGAGGACTATAGGAGATATCACATACATATGAGATAGAACATGTGACATATTTATACTCAGCACCTGGCAGGAACTGTTGCCACCTCAGTTCACGTATAATAAGTGTGAAAGTCCTTTGAACATTAAACTCGTACAAGTAAAACCAGAGCAATGTTTCCTCTTGAGGAGGCAATCTGTAATGTCTTCCAAAGGTCGGAGCATTGGTTCGGGGCTTAAAGAGGAAAGGGAATATTTATATTAAAGCAAGAAGAGAAGTACAATGTTTACTCAGCTCCCATTTAAATAAATAGCCCTAGTCCTCTCTTCCTGAAATGTTAGCCTTTCTTTGCTAATATCTTAGACTTCAGCTGTCTCCAGATTACTTGACATGTGTGTATCGCAAGTTTGCCCCTTACCTAGAAGAGCTAATTCTCTTTGTCTTCTTCAGACCTGACTATAAACACTTGAAATTGGAAACCCTAGTGGTGTAGTGGTAGGAGTTCCGCTGCTAACCAAAAGGTTGGCAGTTCAAATCCACCAGGCGCTCCTTGGAAACTCTATGGGGCAGTTCTACTCTGTCCTATAGGGTCTCTATGAGTTGGAATTGACTCGACAGCAATGAGTTTGGTTTTTGAGTTTATAACACTTGGCCCATAGGAGAAAGATGTGGCAGTCTGCTTCCGTAAAGATTTACAGCCTTGGAAACCCTATGAGGCAGTTCTAGTGGTCCTACAGGGTTGCTATAAGTTGGAATCAACTCCATGGCAACAAGTTTAGTTTTTTTGTTTTTTGTTTTTGGCTTGGTGGTGTAGTGTGGGAGAAAGATGTGGCAGTCTGCTTCCATAAAGGTTTACAGCCTTGCAAAACCCTATGGGGCAGTTCTGCTCTGTCCTGTAGGGTCACTATGAGTCAGAATCAACTCGATGGCAATGGGTTTGGGTTTTTTGGTTGGTGGTGCAGTGGTTAAGTGCTCAGCTGCCAACGGTTCGAACCCACCAGCCACTCCCCGGGAGAAAGATGTGGCAGTCTGCTTCTGTAATGATTACAGCCTTGGAAACCCTATGGGGCAGTTCCACTGTGTCCTACAGGGTCGCTATGAGTCCAAATTGACTTCATGGCAGCAGGTAACGGTAACAGGTGTAACACTTGACAAGTAAAAATTATTGTTTAAAATACACATGGTTCCAATGACTTTATTATTTTAAATGTTAGTTTGCTAATGTATGTGCGAAGACATCAAAAGTGGGGAACCCAGGGACATATTGTACAATCACATGTTCTCCCCTTCTTTCAGTTCCACAAGGAGCGGTTCAAAATTGACATGCCGCACCGATTTAAAGTCTACAATTACAAGAGCCCAACTTTCTGTGAGCACTGTGGGACGCTGTTGTGGGGATTGGCAAGACAAGGACTGAAGTGTGATGGTGAGTCTGCGTTATGTGAAATGGGCATCGGCCCCATTACAGAACCACATCAGGGGGAAATTCACAACTTCGCGGAGAGCGCAGGGAGAATGGTGAGGGATGTCTACAAATAACCCAGACAAGCCCCTATAATCTTGAGGGCGATCTTCCTGGGACAGTAAGCCACTGCTGTTTTTTTCCTTCCATCTCACAATACCCTAATACTCTGTCTCATCCAAGAAAAGTACAAACGAGTTCAGGTTAAAGGTCAAGGCTCCTGGCCCATAGCCTCCTGTTGTACCATTGCCCTAGGGAGAAACGCAAGACAGCTTTTCTCCTCTGACTGGTTCCTTTGCCAGGAATTCCATTTAACTCTGTCCTGACCTGCTGTTTCCTGTTCCTGCTGGGTCTGCCCCTTCATAATTTTGGCATGGCTGGCTGTGCTGTGTTCCTGCCCATTCTCCTTTGCACCAGCAAGTAAATTCTTTTTGTAGTCCTACCAAGCAGCAAGCCGGGCACATGGACTTGGCTGATGGTCCTGCACAGAGGAATTAATTCTGTGACTAGTCCCAAACAGTACTGTGAACTCAGAGTACGAGGTAAGAGGCCACATCCAACTCTGAATGTCATTTCCCTTCTCTGATCTTTCCTCAAAGGCTGGGGATTAGAGTAGAGCCCAAGCCTGACATTCTTTACTAGTGGAGTTATTCAGTCCTACCCTTCTCAAAAAAGAAAAAGAGAAAGGTTTTCTTGATATAAAACTCCAAGGTGCTAAGGCAACTTTAGAAACTGAGATGCTATTATGGAGTAGGGAGGAAAAAAAAAAAAATCCAACAAGAAGAGAACTGACAAAGCACCTCTGTATTTGGATTAGGGTCAAGGGTGGGGACGGGATCTGGATAACATATTCGTAAAAAGAGGGCATCTCCTTATAGAAAAGATCATTTAAAAAAATTTTTTTTGGATTATTAAATACAAGTCATTTTCTTTTCTCTTCCAGGACCTATTTCAGTTTATGCCACTGACTGTTATATGTCTTATCTTTTAAGTGATAGAGGTGGCTGACTTAAGGTGTAGGATTACCTTAAGCAGTTGCTTCCTCCTTATCCCAACTGCTTCTGCACTTCTGGTGGTGCCTGGAGCCACATTTTAATGAAGGATAATCATTGCCTAAGGCAAAAATCGGAGCCCTGGTAGCACAGTGGTTAAGAGTTATGGCTGCTAACAAAAAGATTGGCAGTTCGAATCAACCCAGCTGCTCCTTAGAAGCCCTATGGGGCAGCTCTACTGTGTCCTGTATGCTCAGTGTGAGTCAGAATCGACTCAAGGGCAACGGGTTAAAGGCAAAAATCATATGTAGTCAAAACTGACATTGACAATACCTTCATAGCCCCAAAATACCACTTAGACTTTTTTCTCTATACATTTGTTCAAGAATACCTGGCACGTGAATATAGGCACAGTATTATATAGTATAGGAATCCCTCGGTGGCACAAACGATTAAGTGCTCAGCTACCAACCAAAAGGTTTGAGGTTCAAATTCACCCAGAAGTGCCTCAGAAGAAAGGCCTCGTGATCTACTTCCAAAAAAATCAGCCATTGGAAACCCTATGGAGAACAGTTCTGTTCTGACACACATGGGGTCACCATGAATCAGAGCCAACTCCATGGCAACTGGTTTGGTTTCGGTTTTATTATATAGCATATAATAAAGAATTTATAGGCAAAATATAGTTTCACAATTTGTATAAAAAGAAACATCAGTAATCGAATTCTTATCTGGCGAGACTCGTATGCTGGCCTCACTGTTCATGGTTTCCTTTCCCTGGAGCTTGAGCACCGCACTTGCTGAGGCCAGGCTCATCCTGACAGTGTGATTACACCCGCTACAGCTTAGAACTTCCATGAGGATTCCTTGGCATTATTTCATGGCTCACAGGCCCTGCTTTGTTCTGTTCTTTTTTCCTAACATTCTTCCTTTCCCCTTCTATTTTCTTTCCCCTGCTCTCTTCTACCACCTTCGTTTCAAGTAGCTCCCTCCCTTTTTCTTTTCTCCCCTTTTCCTTCCCTCCCTTTTCTTCCCCATTTCATCTTCTGTTTTCACTCCGTCCTTCCTCCACCGCCTGCCCTGTTTCCTCAACTCTGTCCACCTCTGTGTCTTTACCCTCATCTCTTGTTTCTTCTCATTCTTTTCTGTACTTCTTTTTCTCCTCTTTCTTTGCTTCATTCTCTTTTTTTATCTTGCCCTCTCATAAACCATCTTCTTAAGTAGGGCCGCCTCTTGTTCTTACCCTGTCTTTGCTCTTCAATATAATTCCTATGAAAATAGTCATAGAAAGGGACATTTTGCCCTCAGAGAGATCCAGCTATCACCTACTAGGTTAGTAACAAAGACTTCAGATGGCACAAATGGTTAAGTGCTCAGCTGCTAACAGAAAGGCTGGTGGTTCAAACCCCCCAAGAAGCTCCGTGGGAGAAAGTCCTGGTCATCTGCTTCCGTAAAGATTACAGCCCAGAAAACCCTATGGGGCAGTTCTACTCTGTCACATGGGGTCGCTGTGAGTCAGAATTGACTCGATGGCACCCAACCACAATAGCAACAAGGCATTAATGTAGTGGTGATGGTGGCTTTCCTCACAGCTATGTGTCAGAGACAAGCACAGATCTGTCTACAATTATAAGGAGAAAGAATGGTCTCAATTCTGTTGTGCTAGTCCTCACTGACTGCCTTACTTTGCATTTCGGTAATGAGTAAGGAAACATTACAACTACGTGAACAACTTCGGTGTGAGTAGTGCTGATGCCCACGGAATTCAGGAGGGTGGAAAGAACACCATTAGAAACAGCATCCATTATATGGATATACCACATTTTGTTTATCCATTTCTACCTTTTGGCTATTGTAAATTGCGTTAAAGATTTTTAATATACAGAAAAGATTTTAAGTGGATTTTTGGGATGGTATCTATGCATCTATACTGAGATAAGAATTTATACTAGTTGACATAGAAAATGCTGCGTTGTTTTATTATGAACTATCTGAGAAAGAGGGATCTAGTTAAAATTAAATGGGAAGTCTTCTAAAAGTCCACCTAAATATTTTCATACACATTTCAATGTAATAAATAATGAAGATGAGAGAGAAATTGTATTTTTTGAGCACCTACTTGATGCCAGGCACTGTGCTAAGTTCTTTGCACACAGTATGCCAATGTGCATATACTGTTATAACTGCATGATTGTATATAGCTTCTACTGCCTAATTCCACCATAACAATCATTATTTATATACTTCTGTTGAATTGAGTAGTACTTGAGTACTACAGTTCTGTCAGCTGGAGTTTAGAAATCATTATGTTAGATCTTTTTTTCACTGTAATGGAAATATTTCATAAGAAAATTTTTTCAAATTAATGATAAAATATTATGGAATAGTTGTCCTTTCAATAGACACACACATATGCACACATACCCCTATACAACAAGGATCAGATGGGCACAGTAAGTGGAAGTTAGCCCTTTAAAAGAAACCAGTTGCATCGAGTTGTTCCCAATGCATGGTGACCCCATGAGTGTCAGAGTAGGACTGTGCTCCATAGGGTTTTCAATGGCTGATTTTTCGGAAGTATATAGCCAGCCCTTTCTTCGGAGGTACCTCTGGGTGGACTCAGACCTGCAGCCTTTCGATTAGTAGCCCAGTACTTTAACCATTTGCACCATCCAGGGACTCCCTTAGTAGTCATTTAGCCTGCTGTTTTTAGGACTAACGAATCAAAGTACTCCACCAGAATCACAGCATCTCAGAACTAGAAGCCAATAGATCATATAGCTCAGTGCTCTGGATCTGTAATCTGAAGCCCTGGTGATCTGCTCCCGTGAAGATTACAACCTAGGAAAACCTAAGGGGCAGTTGTATTCTGTCACATGGGGTCACTATGAGTCGGAATCAACCGCACCCAACAACAGCAACCCTTCCTATAATCACACAAGATCTTCGAGAGGCACATATATACAGGTTCCTGAAAATTGGATAAAGACCTTTAACACCTAGTTTTCAGGTTGCTGCTGGGGTACCTTGAAACCTGTGGCTTTCTGTTTCTGCATCACGTGTAGAGCTTTGTGATTTTTTTGTCAAAGCTGGAGTCCCATGCCTGAGGTCCAGTCTCCCTAGGTGCACCATGCCCCTACCTCTCCTGACATCGCAAGCTAGCGAAGAGGGTACCCCTGTACGCCTAAACCCACCCACCACTTCCATACCAAGAGAGCTGAATGGACACTTCCCTTTCCTTGTCCCGCTCCCTCTCTGCTCTCAGAAGCCTTTGCCCAGTTCCCTCCCCTTGGGGATGTATAATAGGTGGCCTTAAGTTTCTACCCACTCACATCCTTGAGGCAGAAATAACATAGACTGTCTTTCCACAAGAGATTGCCTGGGAAGGAGGAGGAGGGGAGCAAGGAATGAAAATCACCACTTAGGGAGAAAAAAAAAAAATAACTACAACAAACTTTTCTGCCACAATTAGAAAATTTAATAATTATTCTGAAGAGATTTTTTTTTTTTCAACTAGGTCTTCGTGTCTTATGACATCCTTAAAACATAGTGTCCCATCTCTACAAAACAATCTCCATTTGCCTTTCTTCCCCTTTGCTGTTGCATTAGGCGTGAGAAATATGTTGTAACATTTTCTGTACAGCTCTGAGAAGGGCATTTGTTGATAAAAGTAAAGATGTTCATGGACCTTGGGACAATTAGGACAAAGGAGGGTTCTGGGAGGTAGTGACAGACATGGAGACAGGGACAAGAAGAGGAGAGGAAAAGTGGTCCTCTTTTCTTCTTTTTCTTTTCAAGTTCTATTTTCATACTGAGAGAGGTCATACCATACCCAGACAAGTATGGGCTGCCAGGAGGCCTTTATTTACATACAAAACTGCCTTATGAAATCCACCAGAAGTAAGAAGAGTAAAAAGATCTACATATTTAAATGCATCCACCCTTTTCTGTAATTCTTTGTTCCACAGAAATGAGTCACTTTAGTAGCCTCAAATAAATTTTAGAAATAAGTATAAATCCTCTGTGTGTGACTCAGTTCACTGGGTTCCACCCATCCTCTCAATTCTTTTCTCAGGAGACCTCGCTAACCTGGCTGTTCATGACCACCCAGGGCTCATGCCTGTGCCCCCACGTGTCCCCTTCACCTTTAATAACTCCACCTCTCCCGTGCAGTGAGATGGTGGTGCTTGGGCCACTTCACTTCCTTTCACTCCCACCCCTGAAAACACACACAAATGCACATACCACTTCCACCATTCAATTTCACTTCTGCAGACTTAGGCTGCCACCTCAGCTTCTGCTTAGAGGGCAGGGAGGCTCCCTGCAGCCCAGTTGAGAAAGGAAGGAAGCTGAGCATGGGATGCTTGGACCCCAGTCTGTAGAGTGAGAACAAAAATCCTTCAATTTTAGCATTTCAGATTACTACCAGGAAGAGCCAATGCCTTTTTTTTTTTTTTTTCCTGGCAGCAGTGGTACAGTCCAAACCCATACTGACTTTCACCCCTAACAGCAAGGCTCTGGCTCTAACTCAACAGAAGATCATTTCCCATTATCACTCTGAGGAGCTGCTGGGGTGTGTGTGTGTTGCAGGAAAGAGGAGGTGGATAACATAGTAACGTCATAAAAGCACTCTCTTGACTAAATGATTTTTATTTAATGTCTTCCTCTGATGGAGCTGGGAATTTGCCAGTTGTTTCTTCTACACATGCATACATGAAACAGATCATATGCAAAGGCCATGGCAGTTGTTACTCTTGCTCACTGTGTTGCTTTCTCCCTTGCAGCATGTGGCATGAATGTACATCACAGATGCCAGACAAAGGTGGCCAACCTTTGTGGCATAAACCAGAAGCTAATGGCTGAAGCCCTGGCAATGATTGAGAGCACTCAACAGGTAGGAAAGGCTTTTAGTTGCCATGTGCCTCAAAGTTCAGCTCAGCAAGAACTACTTGAGCCCATCTGCTCTTTGATCTGTAGCAACTCCATAGGACAATGTGAAATATATTTCTGAGCACCAGCCTTGCCCCTGACTTTCATCTTCATTCCCATAACTCCTCTCTGAGTTGTTTATTTAATGCATTTGTACTGTGTATCTTTGTAAGATCTTAAATTCCTTATGGGATGAGCAGGGGCAGAAACAAGCAAATTAATTAAAAATTCTGAGGATTCATTGCTAGCTTTATACCTAGTATAAAGTATATACCTAGTATATTGGGGCTATTTGATAGCCTTGGGGGAAATTACTTATTTGCTAGATTCATCTCTAGAATCCCCTCAGAAAACTGAGCCTTGGTCCAGGGCAACTTTAGCTTTGCCATTTACTAGCTTGGCATTTGCTGAATGCTGAATTCCCATAAGCATGGACCATCTCTCTTTAAGACTTGAAATTGCCCATGTGAGCTATTTTGCCATCTGTTGACCTTCCATTCTTATTTGTGATGGAGTGATGTAGATAGAATAGGAGAATCCAGTCAACCCCGCAAAAAGTGTGAAGGAGGTGAGTATGTTCTGCTAGTACATAAAATTCAATAGATAGACTCTCAGAAGATGGGAGATTCTGAAAGGATGTGGAAGGAAAGAGGAACTTTGGTTATCCTACACATTTAGGAATCTTAAATGACTTTGTTCTCATGAATACCAAGCTGAGCTGTCACATCAGTGGTGGGTAGACTGACTGTTTGTTTGTGATCTAGGCTCGCTGCTTAAGAGACACTGAGCACATCTGCAGAGAAGGTCCAGTTGAAATTGGTCTCCCACGCTCCATGAAAGAGGAAACAAAGCTGCCATACTTACCGACACCAGGGAAAAGAGGTAGCTGTCTTCATCTGCAGTAGAATCAATGTCAGTGATTAATCTTCATTAACCTTAATCTGAGCTCTCTAGATTTAAATCCCCAGTTTACCTGGTCTGATGGTTGATACTTTGCTATTTAAGAATTGCAGGCCAAGCCACCAACTAAGAGGCTCCTGCTTCTTAGAAGTGAAACCAAAATATACCTCATTAGGATACTTTTTTAAGGGGGACAGTGGAGATGGGAGGAAGAAAATGGGGTAGGTCTAGAGGAACCAAGTCCAAACTTTTCCTGAGAATTTTCAAATGCTATTTTCTATCACTGTTAAATGGCTCTACAGAAATGAGTCTACCATAATGATCAATGATGGGGATATCACAAAGACAGTCTTATTCTGCACCTTTGAAACTTTTCTGAGGTTTAAGACTAGAAAGGAAAAGAATATCAGGGCCAAAATCCTTTAACATTTTGTGACATCATGGAAATTTATCCAACCTACAGTTTGAAGGTAGTTTTTGAAAGAATATAACCACATGACTCTGGGACCTGATAATTTCAACATACATTATAAAATACTGACATTCCTGGATTTAAGGGAAAGATAGTCTCAAGCATACCCATGATCATGAAGATGGTGAAGGACCAGGCAACATTTTGTTCTATTATACATAAGGTTGCCATGAGTCGGAGATGACTCAATGGCAACTAACCACAACATAAAAGATAAACCTATGGATTAAAAAATAAAAGTAATGTTATAAGAGCGGTAAGCAATAAAAAATTTTTTTTCTGCACTTCCTCTGGCAGTGAGCAAAGAATAAACTGACTTAATTTAAAAAGAAAGGTTTGGGTTAGATTGAAGAACTGTCTTCTAAAGTAAACCGTATCTCAGAGCTTATCACAGTAGAGCAGCATCTTCACCGAAGACTAATTAATGATCCATGATGTAGTTCAGATCTTGCCCCTTCCTTCACATTGTAAGGCAGACGAATTGATGCCACTGTGGCCGGGAGCCACACAAACAATGGAGAATCATTTTCCCTTAAATTTGGTTAAAATTCCTATTTGTCCATGATTTGACATCATTATAAGTGCCCGTCCATTTTGCACATATGATCTTTTAGTGATTGGAATACATTTCTTTTTTAACTTTATTTTTTTATTGTGGTAAATATATCCGTAGCAAAACATTAGCCATCTCAACATTCTTCACATGTACAGTTTAGTGATATTAACGTATGTTCATCATGTTGTTCAACCGTCTCTCTTTTCCATCCCTAAATTTTTCCATCATGGGAGATGTTCTTAAGTTGAAATATTTCCCAGTCTATTGACTATATAAAGAGACACAGTCCGTGCCCCAAATGCCAGGATCACAGATAGGAGATGCTGTCCTTACAGACAGATGGAGAAGCATTAAAGCTGCCTTCTGCTACGGCCCCTCACCCCCACCCCCCACCATGGCATACATACCCTCAGAAGAGAAAGTATGATCTGAGTAACTAGAATGGCCCTCCATTACTCCATGTTTAGTTGTAACCACTGGCTTGCCATTTTCAGAGCCTCAAGGAATCTCCTGGGAGTCTCCAATGGATGGGATGGATAAAACATGCCATCTTCCAGAACCTGAAATGAACATAGAAAGACCGTCTCTACGTATAAAATTGAAAATTGAGGATTTTATTTTGCACAAAATGTTGGGGAAAGGAAGTTTTGGCAAGGTATGATACCATGTTATGTAATTCTGCAGACCAAATTCCAAAAATTGAAAAGCAACACTCCTGGTCTGTGGAACTAAACTTGTGAGGACCAGAACTGCATGTGGTGTGTGGAGAGAGCATTGCTGAGTGTTTTAGGAGAGGGGAGAGAGATGATTGAATAAACAGAGATTCCAGGGGACTCTAGGGTAATAGCAGCCTCTGCTTTCTGGGGTCTTTGTCCTTATAGACGATGGTGTACATTCCACACGCTTCTGTATTTGATATTATTGGGATGATATGATGTGGTGGTTAATTTTATGTGTCAACTTGGCTAAGCTATGATGCTTTATTGTTTAGTCAAACATTAGATGTTGCTGTGAAGGTAATTTGTAGGTTAAAATAAATCCATATCTATCTATCCATCCATCTGTAGATACATACATACTATTGATTCTCTTTCTCTGGAGAACCCTGGCTGATACATATGGAATGTAGACTTTCAGGATATTTTAGATAACCTAATGGACTATTAGGATATTAATGTACTAATTGTGCTCTCAGTTGTTTTATGTGCTTGAATGGGACTCCTAAGGAAATTGTAGCCAGACTATATTCTTCCATGAATTTGTTCATTCAAAGCCAGCATTATGCTCAGCACCTGCTCACCAGACCTGGGCAGGGAAACTTACCCAGTTATTTAATAATAAACTAAAATGCAGCGGAGCATCCACCACAGCTGAATAACATTGGGCTCCTCTTGGGGTGTGGTTTAAACACCGGTGCATCACCTTCAAAAATTCTACTCTGCTCTGCAGACTGTAGCTGATAGCCATTAATTCTTTAAGTTCATTTCCACAATAACATTAACCACAGCAAACTCATTTGGTGTTAACCTGAGTTAATGTGCAGTTATAACCTATTACCAGAAATTGAAAGCACATTATATAGATGGAAATTGCCTTTTTAGCTTTTTAGTTTTTTGGTGGTTTGGGGATGTTTTATTGAAAGAAGCAGTTACCAGAGGAGTGTTTTTGATTGTTAATGGAATGTTTATCCTTCTTTGTTCCCATGTGGATTTCTACTTTTGAACAAGGTTAATAAGGAAGGAGTCCCTGGGTGACACAAACCATTAAGTGCTCTACTACTAGCCTACAGGTTGGCAGTTCAAACCCACCCAGTGGCACCTGGGAAAACAGGCCTGGCAATCTGCTTTTGAAAAGTCACAGCCCTGAAAATCCTATGGAACACAATTTTACTCTGACACACATGGGGTCACCATTAGTCAGAATTGACTCAACAGCAACTAACAACAGTAAGAAAGATGTAAGGTTAAACCTACAAGCCTTAGTATTACCCCAGGGGACAACCGAGAGCTTTGGGTATTCTCTGCTGTATGTCCAAGGCAGTATGCCTCTCTCCAACAGGGCCGCATGTCCCTACACCCTGAGAGAACTGGACTGTGGGGCCTGAGGAGAGGAGAATAAAGCACCCAAGAAAAATGAGACTGCCATGTTTCCCTCTCACAATAATAAGAATCCTCCAAAACTTGTTCTTTCTTTTTGACTCTATATAGGAAGTACGGTTCCTCACCAAAATGGTAGCCTCTATAATCTTGTTCTCAGTCTGCTTTTAAGCCCAAATTGCATGTTTTCTGGGAATATGCGTGTCGTTCATTTGCCCGAATTCTCATCTATATTATTTTAAACCTAAACACATGAGTGTTCAGTACTATTTTAACATCATTGACTTAACATTCCCTGAAAGTCGACAAAAGAAACAAATGACAGATGTTCTTAATAACTATCATATGGAAAGCATTTTATTGTTTAAAAGTCACTTTCCCACATGGTATCTCATTTGATCCAAACAGTCATGTAAGTTCGAGAATGCAGTCATCATCACCTCTTTTACATGTTAGGAAATGGAAGCCCCAGAAATCTAATAGGCTTGCTGGAATTTCCACAGCTAGTAACTGGCTGTGAGATGAGACTGGAGCTGGGGTTTTCTGTCACCAGATGCCATGTCCTTGCAACTTGCAATAGTCTGCCACTGCGTCATTTGCAAAAGCAAAGTTGTTGGAACTCTCCTATGTAAGACTCGTGAAATGAAGTGGAAAGAGTGAATTTTGAAGTCTGTCATCCACTAGGGATCCTGGTGGCACAGTGGTTAAGTGTTTGGCTGCTAACCAAAAGGTCAGCAGTTTGAATCCACCAGGCGCTCCTTGGAAACCCTGTGGGACAGTTCTACTCTGTCCTGTAGGGTCGCTATGAATCAGAATTGACTCAATGGCAATGGGTTTGGTTTCTCATCCACTGAGTAGCTCCGTATATTTGAGCAAGTTACTTAACTTCTCTAAACTCAGTTTTCTTACCTAGAAAACAGGTATTTTATTATCCATCTTGCAGAGTTATTTGGGGTGAGCATTAAATTAGATAGCACATGTAAAGTACATAGCAGAATGTTTGACATATAGGAGGTCCTGAAAATGTTCTTAGTTTCTGTGTCATCAGATGAAATGGTGCTCATTCTTTAAGTACATAAACCAAAACCAAACCAGTTGCCATCAAGTCAGTTCTGACTCATGGCGACCCTGTGTGTGTCAGAGCAAAACTGTGCTCTGTAGGGTTTTCAGTAGCAGATTTTTCAGAAGTAGATCACCAGGCCTTTGTTCCAAGGCACCTCTGGGTGGACTTGAACCACTAACCTTTTGGTTAGCAGCCAAGCACTTAACCGTTTGCACCACCTACGGATTCCTTTAAGTACCCTGTTGTTGTTAGGTGCGGTCGAGTCAGTTCTGACTCATAGTGATCCTGTGTACAACAGAATGAAATACTGCCCAGTCCTGCACCATCCTCACAATGATTGTTATGCCTGAGCCCATTGTTGCAGCCACTGTGTCAGTCTGTCTCTTTGAGGGTCTTTGTCTTTTTCACTGGCCCTCTCCTTTATCAAGCATGACGATCTTCACCAGGGTCTGGTCCCTCCTGATAACATGTCCAAAGTACATGAGACGAAGTCTCGCCATCCTCGCTTCCAAGGAGCATTCTGGCTGTACTTCTTCCAAGACAGATTTGTTCGTTCTTCTGGCAGTCTACAGTATATTCAGTATTTTTTGACAACACCGTAATTCAAAGGCATCAGTTCTTCTTTGGTCTTCCTTATTCATTGTCCAGCTTTCGCATGCTTATGAGGCAATTGAAAATACCAAACTGACAGACACGTGGTGGTTTAAGCACATAAGGAGAACTATATCGCTCAAGTATTCTTTTTTGCTTTGAACAACTGAGTAAAACTTAGAGTTCTGTTTTGTGCTTATCTGCAGTAACGTTTCAAGTGCAACCATCTCCTTCTCTCTCTTGTTTGCCTCTTGTTCTTTCAATAAACCCTTTGTCTCTCTGAAACACTCAAGTCCCCGGGCAGTCAGGGCATGCATTTTTAAATGGAATTTTTCAGGTACTGGGAATGGCGCATCCCATTGCATAGTGATTTTGTGGAAACCCATTGAAAGGTACAAAATAGATAGTATGAAACGTTAGGTAATGTCCTAAACCGGTGAAGCACTATATTTTGTCTCAGTAAAAGGGCTGAAGGGGAGGAGGAGTATGAAGAGGAGGAGGGGAATCCTTTTTCCTCACCTAACGCAGGTCTCTCAGGACTTTGTCTCTTTAATGAGTGTGAATCCAAACTCTAAAAAAAAAATTTACTTCTTCCCCTTTCTTCTAGGTCTTCCTAGCAGAGTTCAAGAAAACCAATCAGTTTTTTGCAATAAAAGCCTTAAAGAAAGATGTGGTCTTGATGGATGACGATGTGGAGTGTACAATGGTAGAGAAGAGAGTCCTCTCGTTGGCCTGGGAGCATCCGTTTTTAACACACATGTTTTGTACATTCCAGACCAAGGTATGGCCTCTGCTCGGACAACCCTTCCCTCTGCCTCTAACACAGTAATCTACCTGTCTTTTGTGGTGTTTTCACTTGGAGACATGGGGCATTATCTCTGTTTTTATCTGTAGCTTCAGTGCACATCTCTTCTGTACACCATTGAAAATATTGCTTAGAATTTTTTAATGTGGTCAGTTGGAAAACGGCTTTACTTCTGGATTTGTTTGTCCATTTGCTTGCTTTGGGGAATTTTGTTTAACTTAGCATAATTTGGAAACCCTCGTGGCTTAGTGGTTAAGAGCTACAGCTACTAACCAAAAGGTCGGCAGTTCAAATCCACCAGACTCCTTGGAAACTCTAAGGGACAGTTCTACTCTGTACTATAGAGTCGCTATGAGTCGTAATCCACTTGACGGCATCGGGTTTGGTTTTTTTTTTTTTTTTTAGCATAATTTAGTTTAACTAAGCAGTGTATGACTTGCATGACAAAATAGTGGTCTTTGGGGGAAAAATGCAACCCTTGTTTGTTCATCTTTCATCTACCCTACATGTATTTGAAGAAACAAAAGTTGGGAAACGGGTGGAAATGCATGTGCAATGTTATCTTCCTCTATAAGGCAGGCAGAAGAGCAGCCTTTACAGGGGGCTTGCCTCGTCTTTATCAGCTCTGTCATCACTGAGGCACTGAGTAGGGAGACGAGGGGGCGGGGCCTCAGCCGCCATTCTGCACTGAGCTCCTTCAGTGATGCCATCCTGTCAGAAGACTCTCCTGGCTGTGATTCTTGTCTTGATCTCCTTTTTCCTTAAAAAAACAAAAAAAAATTATAGTTGCTTCTTTTCTGATTCAAAAGTTATTCAGAATCATTTTAGAAGATTTGGAAAATGCTTATAAGCTCAAAGAAGAAAATCATTTGTAACCCTGCCACTTGGATACACTCATTGTTAATACTTTGAAGTTTATCCTTCTAGGTCTTCCCCTGGTGAATTTCTAAATAAAAATAGCATTCCATTGTAAATACCTGTAACTTGCAATTTTAACACTGTATTATATACATTTTCTCACATCTGTGCAGATTCTTCTACAACATGATTTATCTAATGAGAACACATCTAACTTTTTCTCTGGTTTAAGTAACACTGAAAGGAACATCCTTGTAAAACAGTCTTTGTGCCCAAGCGTTATTTTCTCTGTTCATTTTTCTACTCTCCTCCACTCTGTCCCCATTGTATGTCGCCTAGAATAATAAGCCAGACCCATGTGGGTCCATGTGGTCAAGGTCCAAAAAGTGTTAAGGGTGGGTTTTTCCCTCTTTTTCTATTTCATGCCTTGAAGATAATGTAGTGTAGTACCTTTGACTGAGCAATAGAGGCCCCTAAGCTGCTCTTTAGCCAGAGAAAGAATTAAAGGGAGAACTGTGAGAATCAGAAAAAGTTGGCAGCTACTAGGGCTTTCATCACTGCTTCCCCAGAACCAGAGATTCTCATCAAATGTTTAATGAACAGGTGGATGAATGGATGGATGGATGGATGGATGAATGGATCGATGGGAGGATGGATGCACTGACCTAGAATAAAGAGAAAACTAGACCATGAAAAGCACTTACTGGGCATATAGTGTATTCAAAGCACTGTGAAGGATAGGTAAATAGATAATACGGTTCCTGACTTTGAGAATTTTATAATCTAATAAAGAGCCCTGGTGGCACAGTGGTTAAGCACTCCGCTGCTAACCAAAAGGTCAGTGACTCGAACCCACCAGCTGCTCCAGCAGAGGAAGTTGTGGCAGTCTGCTTCCGTAAAGATTTATAGCCTTGGAAACCCCATGGGGCAGGTCTACCCTGTCTTACAGGGTCACTATGAGTCAGAATCGACTTGACGACTGGGAAATAAAAGAGGCAAGACTGATACTTCTAAGCAGTGGTGAGTAATGTTAAACTGTGCAGAATTTGAATAGGCATTAAAGAGAAGGGAGACCTTGGGTATCAGAGGTGTGATAAGAACTCGTGAGAGACACTTGAAGGAACTGGGGGGGTTGGTAACGATAAGCTGTTTAGGAGAAAATAGGCTTAAACTGCAGCAGGAAGGCATTTGGTATTTCTGATAATGAGGATTGGGGAGATTTTCTACTAGAAACATTTTCCGTTGGTCTGGGATGGTGTAGAGGTATTCCCGAAAGGCAAAGCAAGGAACTCTGCCGCGTTCTTCCCGACTCTGTTCTAGGTTTACTGTGCACCCGGGAGCCTACATGTGATCTCCCTTTTCCTCTTGGACTATCGTGAGGCTTTGTCTCAAACTGCTACATACACTTCAGAGCAGGCTTCTAGGGTCACTTATATAGCCAAGCTTGACTTGGCACCTTTTTCTCACTTTTTGTTGTTGTTGTTGTTGTTGTTTGTGTGGTATCCTTGAATATCTTATAGGAGGGCTGTTAAGAATCCTACTTTGTAGAAAATAGCTGTGTTTCCTTCTTTTGATTGCCTACAAAAGCCTCAGACGGTGTTCGTGTCTTTCCCTGTTATGAGAGATGCTGTCTATGCTCCACATAGCTGTGATGCTTTACAAAGACCTGAGAAGTAGATGCATCAGCAGCATTTATGCCGTGAGAAAAAAAAAATGCAAGAGAATGTGCACATCATATGTAAAGATGACTAGTTTCAGTTACTTAGATTTCAAGGAATTGAGTTCTTTTAGAAAGAGAGGGCAAAAAAATATAAAGCTTGTCTTACATACACGTTCCCAAGGACCCTGAGTTGTTTTTGAAATTAATTTATTATTCAAACCTTGCATGTCAAAGCAATCAATTAAATAACACTGGTGAATGTGAAAGGCAACAATTTATGTGAATGAATGATGATTTTCTCTGGGTACATTTTGGGAATGGTCCTTCCTTGAGGGGCTAGTTACCCTTGAGCACTAGTTAAGACATTGTTAGCAGCAGTCGAGTTGGCCCCAGACTCATGGTGACCTCATGCCAAGGGAGGGGAACCAGTCATGCACCATCCCCAGGATGGGTTGCTGATCAAACCATTGTGATCCATAGGGTTTTTATCTGCTGATTTTCAAAAGTAGTCGCCAAGCCATTCTTCCTAGTACAAATTAAGATATTAGATGAGATAAATTATTTACTTTTCTAAGGAATGTTAGTTCCTGTAGAAAGTTATTTGTTTGATTTCTTTCTACAAAGAGCTTACCTGTTGAATACGAGATTATGCAGGATATTTTGTGGACACATTATTCACTTGTTTTTTACAAGGGGTATGTGGATTAAATCATTAAAAATTTGTTTTTCAGTTTATTTTGTTGTTGTTGGAAATATACACACCAGAACATGCACCAATTCAGCAATTTCTACATATTAAAATTTTTTAAAAGTTTATATATGAGGGATGTGTGACTTTGAAGCATGAAAATACGGTAAAGCTATTTAGGGCTATGCAGAATGAAATGGGCTGTGGAGCTGGAGTCTGAAGCAGTCCAGTTTCAGCTCTCTACCATTTATCAGCAAGGCTCTGGGACCTCCTTTGCTCCCCTGCACAGAAGAGAGTGTAAGAATTACTCTTCAGAGGGGCTGTGAAGGGCAAACTGGACACCACATGTGAAAGCAATGCTTGGGATATAGATATGCAAAAATATCAGTTGAATCTGAACCTGAATCTGAATGAGGCTCAAAGGAAAAGAATCTTTGAAATTAATTTTCTCTGTGCTAGATCAGGATGACTTTGTACATCATTCAAGTTGTGACATAAATTATTGGCATCAGAGTCTAGTGCATCTCGGCATCATGAAGGGTTGTTGTTGTCTTAACAGGAGGAAGGAATGATGTCGAATTCTTTACTTTTTACTAACATTTCTTCATTTTTTTGTATCTATATTTTGTGTTTGTTGTTGGTTGCCATAGAGTTGATTCTGACTCATGGCGACCCCATGTGTACAGAGTAGAACTACTCCATAGGGTTTTCAGGGCTTTTGGAAACAGATCACCAAACTGGGTTTGAACTGCCAACTTTTCAGCTAATAGTTGAACTCTTAACCATGTACATCATGCAGGGACTCCGCACATATGTACAGAGAGCTTGAAATTGCATGATATCTTCTCAGTATCAACCGAGCGTATTTGCAGCCAACTTTTGCATTACTGGATTTTAAAACTATATGTTCAGTAGCTATTTTCCATTATTTATATTCAAAAAAAGTAAAAACAGGAAAACTACAGTAAAATTTTATCTACAAGAACAATTGTCATAGTCTTTTTTAAAAAAATATTTTATTGTGTTTTAGATGAAAGTTTACACAGCAAATTAGGTTTCCATTTGGCAATTTTTATTACATATTGTTCCATGAATTTTGTTGCAATTTTCACAGCATATCATTGTTCTCATTATTTCCATTCCGTTTGTTTTGTTTCCGTTGATCTAGCTTCCCTGTGCCTCCTTGTCTTCTCATCTTTGCTTTTGGGTAAATGTTGACTGTTTGGTCTCATATAGTTGATTGTTTTAGGGAGCACATTACTCGTGGGTGATATTCTTTCTTTATTTTATAAGCCAATCTCTTATTTGGCTGAAAGGTGACCTCTGGGAGTGACTTCATTCCAAGTTCATAGGGTATCTTGAGACGATAGTCTCAGGGGTTCCTCTTGTCTCTATTGGTCCAGTATGTCTGGGCTTTTTTAGGAATTTAAATTTTGTTCTACATTGTTCTCCCACTCTGTGTGAGACCCTCTATTGTGTCCCTGGTCGGAACGTCGGTAGTGGTAGCTGGGCATCATCTAGTTCTTTGTCATAGTTCTTTATATATTCACTTACAAGTAAATCAAAAACTATTAAAAAATTAATCATAAAAACTTGAAAACTCAGTACTCAAATTACTTTCAAAGATCACTGTTAAATCAATTCAGCACATGTTTCTTGGGACCTAGTGTTTATAAATTCTGTATTTTTCCCCAAAAGAGACAAGGTTCAAAGTGTATGGTGATTAAATCACAAAGCTGTTTCCTTTTCTGACCTAATTATAATAAGTTA